ATTTTTAGTGTACAAAATAATAGGTTTTATTGTGACATTTCATATATATATATTATTATATCTTATTCATACTCTCTCCCCTACGGCTCTCCTCTGACCCTCCTCCCACTCGCTGGTCCCTTGCCCTTCTGCTTTACTGACACACACACTCTGGGAAAACCCGCAATGTTTTGTCTGTCTCTGCTCCCATTCCCTCGCTTATTCCTGACTGCTCCCCGCCTCCCAATTCTTTCTTCCTGGATCCTAGTCCTGTAGGGAGCGTGATTCCCTTGTGCAGCTCTGGTGGAGAAGCACGGGCTCAGGGGCCTTAAGGACAAGAGCCAAAGTGGATGGGATGGGATGGGGGCATGCACGGCATCATTTTGGGATGCTCTGGGACAGAACTGTTGCTAGTTTCCAGGAGAATCCGACCCAAAGCCCACAGCAGAGCTCCTCTGCTTTGGCTCCTCCTCCAATCAGTTCTCGGGGTTTCTGTGTACCCGGGGCCACGCCCTCTCCCTCAGTTGTCCAAGCTGGAGTAGCTCAGACAGAACAAAGGCATAATGAGGGCTGGCAGTGCACAGTGTCGGCCACGAGGGGGCAGCCGAGCACGGAGCCAATTAGAGTTGAGATTAACTGAAAAAACCACAGGCAGGGATAAGTTCCCCTCGGCTTGCCTGAGCTAGACACACCATGGGTCTTTTGTTTGGTTTTTGCGGTGCTTGGGATCCACCCTGGCCAAAAATGGCAGGTCCCCACTAGCATAAGTCACACTTCCAGTCCTTAACGTTTACTGAGCATTTCAGAAACCGCTATGCATCTCCTTCGTTCACTTGGGCACAGCCCTGCCACTCCCAGTTCACAAACGAGGGAACTGAGGCATACAGTTCAACACGCACCTCCTCAGTGGGAATAAATCCAGACATTGCCCCCTGCCCCCTGGCTCCTACCAACCTACATACTCTACTCCCCTTGTTAGAAATCTGGTCCTTTGCATATTCATTCAAGGTGCTTTTATCTTTTCCGCAACTCTTTCCCTTTCAGGCTCCCTGAACAGGATAGAGTGGGGCTGGCCCGCCCAGAAGGAGACAATGTGTATGGTGTGTGTGTGTGTGTGTGTGTGTGTGTGTGTGTGTGTGTGTGTGTGTGTGTGTGGTGGTGGTGGTAGCAGCAAGGAGGACCCAGGGAAAATGAGACACCTTCTAGGAACTGGAACCTGGACAAGTGAACAGGGCCTGTGGATGGCCATATTCCCTACCATGTGGGAGGGTGGGAACGAGCCCTGTGAAGAGGAAACTGTAATGGAGCAGAGGGGGATGATGGGCTTACACAGCATGCTTGCTCAGTAGCTCCGAAGCCTGCATACTGCTGGGCTTCCTTTGGGTCTGGACTGCGTGGGTGCCTGTGAGTTGGGATTAACCATGCAGAAGGCTCAGTGTCTGACTGTGGGCTCCTAGCAGCTCTTCCTCCCACCCGTGGCGAAGGAAGGCGCGGAGGGAGGCATGGCACAATTGGCAGGACTCGGAACTGACAAAACTGCCCAGTGACACTGTTCTGAAGCACTGGGGGAGGATTTGTTTGATGGACTTACTTCCCCAGGAGCTGTTGGAAAGAGGATCAGGGGTTCAAGGCCAACCTACAGCCTTCCCTGGTCTCCCAAGGGACAGATGCCATCTGCCACCTTCTTTCCCAGACACCTCTAGGACTCCAACAACCTTGTCTGCCATGCAAAGACTTCCCTCATTCATAAATGTACTCATTCATTAATCAGATTCTGACGGCTCCACTTACTATAAGCTGGGCGCTGTTTAGGTAGACTGCCTGCTGGTTTTCCTCGGCTCGCCCCACCCCGCTCCCATCCCCCAGCCTGTTTTCGACCCTTCTCTGTTAATAGGACGGTCTTGAGAAGTACATCACCAGGTCCTCTTGTCCCTGGTTTCTAGCTGGGCCCAGTAACGGGAGCAACAGAGCAAAATCTAGAGTCGGGAGGAGCAAAGCGCCAAGTCATCTCATTCACGTGTGGAGCCTCCCAGGCCAACCGTCCTTTGCTCCTGGTAGCCAGCCCTACGTACATAGACTCCTTCCAAAATTTATCAGAACTGTCTCGGGGATCAGGAGAACAGAAGGGCCAGAGGGAGGGTATGTGAATTCTAGGACAGCTGCGTGATACAGGACACCCAAGCAATCCTGTGGGGACACCCACGTGGCAACAAACTGAGGCCTCCTGCACCAACCCCACAGTGTGCATTAGTGAGCTCCAGTCAGGCCCAACACAGCCTTGGATTCCCGCCCTGCAGAAACTGTTCATCATTAAATGTTTGCTCTTGAGGTTTGTTTTACTTATTTTAAATTAAGTTTTGTATGTATGTATATGTATATGTATGAGGATGAGTGTGTGGGTGCATGTGAATGCCAGGCATATATATGGCAGTCGGAGGACAATTGTCATGGTACCTGATTGTAATCCCAGCAGTGGTAAGAGGGGAGATGCAGCTAGTCTAACATACGTGATGAAATTCCGGGCCAGTGAGAGACCTTGTTTCAAATAAAAGGTAGAAGGCATCTGAGGGAGAGCAGGCACCCGAGGCTGTCCTTGCATCTCTATGAGCACATGCACACAGCTGCATGCATGCATTCGGACACATGCTCTCTCTCATCCTCTTGCCCCCTCCACACATGCTGGCACATTCAAGCATACACATACGCACACATACAAATTCACAACGAAATGTGCTAATGTGCTGCTTCTTGCCCATTATAAGGCACAACTGTGATCAAGATGAATGGATAATCCTTAGAGGTTTTTTGTTTTGTTTGTTTTTTTTTTGAGACAGGGTTTCTCTGTGTAGCTTTGGAGGCTGTCCCGGAACTCGCTCTTTTAGATGGGGCTTGTCTCAAACTCACAGAGATCGGCCTGCCTCTGCCTCCCAAGTGCTGGTACTCAAGGCGTGTGCCACCACCGCCTCGCTAGTCTTTTTTTTAAAGACAGGGTCTCACTATGTGGCTCTGCCTGGCCCAGAACTTGCTATGTAGTCTGGGTTGACTTCGAACTGACAGAGATCTGCCTTTGCTCCACTCTCTAGTGCTGATACTAAAGGTTTAAGTCTATTCTGGTGGGTAAAATAGACAGCAAAGTAACCCTCAAGTAAATGTGGAATAATTTAGATCTTACATGCCCACAAAGGGCCATGCATTAAAGGCTCTGTCCTCCGCTTGCTGCCACTGGGAGACAGAACTTTAAGAGAGGAGTCAGTGGGAGGGGCTAAGTCACTGCAGGTGCTTGGTTTGAATCCCAAATGGCCACCCACCACCCAGGCTCATGTTTTGAATTCCCTTTTCCCAGCTGGTGGGATTATTTTGGTTGTGGAACTTTTAGGAGATGGGCTCTAGTTGGTAGAAGGTCACTAGGGGTCTCTGAAGATGACGGTCTAGTCCCTAGTTCTAGCCTTCCACCATGATGTAAACAGACTCCCATAATAGCTGGCGGTCTTGAGACCTCTGTCTACACATCTAGGTCACAAGCTGAGCAGCTAGGAGAGTGTCAGATACAAAGACCCATGAAAGGGAGTCCCAATGGGCCCCAAGTTAGCACAGGTGGCTCGGGTGGGGCTGCCTTCTTTCCAGGTGGATGTTCTTTCCATCTCCGTCTTACCCACACCTTGGTCCTGGAGCATTCAAGGCTGGTCCTTGACCCCCAGCAGAGCTGGGCCCATTCTGCTGCTTTGGAAATCCTGATCAGAGGGCAGCCCTGCTGATTTCTAAGCCCTGGCCTGTGGGGACCATGTCTTATCTGCTGCTGTTTCCTACACTGCCCTACTAGTGCCACAGGCCAGCTTCTGTACACAGGTGACCACAGGAACAAGGCCCACGCAGGCGCCTCTGATGAGCTGTCTCATTTAGCTCTCAGGAGGAGGGACATGGTTTTGATGCCCATTTTGGGGTTGGAGAAAATGAAATTCTGGAAATCAAGTGATGTGGGAAAGGTCACACCATGCAGTACGATGAGGGCTTGTGCTCCACCCCGCTTCACCTGTCGGAAGGTGGGGTCTTCCGGAGATGACCCGGCTGTGAGGGTGGAGCCCTTGTCAGAGCTGTTCTAAGAGGGGTCTAGAGAACCTCTTTCCACCATGCCAGGCAGGGCACAGGTGAAGGCAACAATCTGAGATGGAGAAGGCTCCCATCAGACACTCCAACCTTGCACTTCCAGTCAGACATGAGGAATGAATTCTTGTCTAGAAGTTCTCAGGCCATGGATACCTTGTGTAGCAGCCTGCGCTGAGTAACACTGACTGATATGACCCCCAGCCCCACTAGGCTGAAGGGAAGGAGTGCTAGGTTTCTTCTGACCTAGCCTGGTCCTGTGTCGTTGGGCCAGGTGATGCAGTTAGAACTTCCTGTCTTAACCCAGCCTCAGGTTTGCAGAGTGGACCTAATCACTTCTGCAATCCTCATGAAAGGCACAACACACTTCAGTACCTGTTTTCCTCAACTCTCAAATGGGCATGAATATAATATTTCACCTATTCGTTTATTCTTGAGAGCTCTATTACCTGTCGCTCTTCTCACCTTTAGGCAATTCACTTTCTATTCTAGAAAAGACAGGGGTAGGTCAACTGCAGGACTTCCTCAGAGGCCTGTTTCTAGTACTTTCCTGGTCCCCAGGGTTCTAGCTTCAGCTACTTCCGCTCCCTGGTGGCTCTTGGCACCAACTAGCTCCTCTCCCGGTCCACCAACCTTCAAGACTGGCTTTGCTTACTGTCTCCTATTTGACTCATAGCTCCTTTCCTGTCTTCTGTTGACTCTGCCTGTTCCCATTCTCTCTAGATCTTGGCACTCACTAGGCAGCTCCAGGAGCTAGAGAGAAGATCCCATAGGAAGCCACAGATGGGGTCAACCCCGGATGTCTCTTTTCCCCTTAGCAGAGCTCCAACTCCCTAGGCAACCATGGTCAGTCTGTGCCGTCTAGAAAGGGGTCCACCGCACACCACAGGACTTGGCTGCTTCAGACCACAACTGCCTACCGGCTTGGGGCAGTGGATGTATCGTGCCAGGCTGATGATGAGGTCATGTGTGATGGGGTCCACCAAGTTCCGGAAGCTGGCGTATCGGTACAGCACATCATCCAAGGAGGTTGACTCCATGCCCAGGTCCTGAAAGAGAAGAGAACACCAGAGGTCAAGAGCCAGCCAACTTACCTACAGCATTTTTGTCTTGGGAACCTTTTACTATAGGTGTCTTGGCCATTAACTTTAGGATGGGTGAGGAAGATACACCCACAGGAGGCACTACACTTCATCTGCAGAACTTCCACCAGGGCTCAAGGATTGCTGGAGTGTGGAGAGCGGTGGGATCCAGGAACCCTGTTTGTGCTGTTCTGGGCTGTTGGACTTCCTAGGATTCTTACACAACACCAGGTACAGGCCAGTCCAGCCCTCTCCCAAGCTTGAGCGTGCTGAGCTGACAGAGGTAACTGAACAGGCATGGTCTACCTGGGAGTGTTTGATTAGGCTCTAAAAGTTGCTAGGCTTTGAGAAGGAGGTGGGATAACTGGCCGAGCCCTGGAGAGGGCCTTCTTGTCATTTGGTGGGGTAGTCTAAACTTCTCCAGACACCTTCCCTGTGCCTGTGATCTTAGACATGCCTATAAGGGAGGGGGCAGCAAATCAATAATCTGGATCTGCAGAGGAAGAAATAGAGGTTGACTTCCTACAATGTTGATATTTTTTGGGGGTGTGTGAACCAGGTCTCAGTCCCCACTCTAGTTAAGGGCCAGTTTGGAGAGCTCTGTCTTCTACTGGGCAGGCGCCAGCCTTAGAGGTAAGCTGAGTTCTATGGGGTATGTTCACTGTCTATCCCCCAGTGACACAAGGTGTCATGTGGTTGAGTACAGGGCCTTCTGAAAGCTGGCTGGCAACTGTGACACTTGGCCTCTGTCCTCTGGCTGCAGCCCCTTGGGTCATCTACCTAACAGCTCCAAGCCCCTTGCCCTCTCTGTAAAATGGAGACAGTGACCCTGGCATCAGAAATTGATGAGGGAAACTAAACTAAGCAGCACAGGCAAGGCTTCCGGCAGGGACCAGTGTCCCCTGTGTTCCCCCCAAATCCTCTCCTGACCCCACTTGCTCTTCATTCCTTCCCTACCACACCATGCAGCTCCCTTGGCCCATAGACCCATCTGAGGATGTGCCGAAAGCAATTATAACTCCTCAGAAAATACAGGAGTCAGGGCAGGACAGGAACCTTGGCATATCCATTCCGTGTTGGCCCTGTGGTCAGGAGGGTGTGTTGGGCTGTGCAGAACTCTGGGACTATCACCCAGGAATGAGGAAGACACACCCCTACCCTGACTGGGGAGTAAGGAAGCTGGGAGGGCCTCAATTCCAAGGGCATCCAAAGGCCATGTGGCCAAAGGGCCTTAGCCTAACATTCAGCTTCCTAGCCAGACTTCTGTTTACAGGTCAAGGCTCCCTTCTTGGGGACAGGACGGCCGAAGGAAGGGGGGCAGCATGGTGGTGATTCCCAGAGCTACAGGCTAGACTCATAGCTCAGGGAAGGAAGTCAGGGCTATGGGGGGGGGTCTTTCTTTTCTTTCCCTTCCTCTCCCTTTCTGTGTAGCTCAGGCTGGCTTCAAACTTGCACTCCTTGCCTCAGCTTCCCAACTATTGGGAATACGGGCCACGCCCAGCTAAGGGTTCTCTTTTCATCCGTCCTGCTCCTCTTTTGCTACTGACTTAATGCTAGTCTCTGTCCCTCACCCATGTACATCTGTCCTTGGGGTGATTCACACCTAATGTTCAAAAGCCCCTGTAGACTCCTTGGCATATTTAGCAAGAGACCCCACCCTTGGGATGTGGTTTTGTTTTGTTTTTCCCTGACTATGAAATGGTCAGATCAAATACAAAAGTTGTCAAACTGTGTACCAAGGTCCTGGGGTCAGCAGGTGGTACTGGGGGACAGGAAGAAGGCAGAGCAGCTCTTGGTCTCAAACAAATGAATAAACAAACTACAGCCAAGGAGTAGGAAACGTGGGAAATTGGTGGGCTTGCTGCCCTCCATGTAGCCACACCGGGCCCTATCTCTGCAAGTCCCCCAAATTCCAGGCCACATGAGGCCATCATATTCTTGGGAAGACCAAGAAATACCATGGGCTAATCCAGAGACTGGGCAGGCCTGATCCCCTCAGGGGCCTCCTCTTAGTTAATTCCTCTACCCTTCAACTCGAGAGCCCCATGGCTGTCAGTAGTCATCTCTACGGCAGGAGGAGGACGCCCCCACTAGGGGTGGGGGATTGAGTAACTGAGTTACAAGGTAACACCTTCCTGAAGAATTCCAGTTGGGGTGGAGCTCCCAAAGGTCTAAGGTGGCTGTCCTTTATGGCGTCCTTGATTTCCAGCTGCAACTGTGTTCAAGGACACTTGTGCAACTTCAGGACATACCCCAGCATCTGGGTCTCTTCCCTGTGTCTTTCCCTCTAAGTCAGCTCATTGGGGACTTTTGTGTCATGGTCCATAAACTGGATATGAGAGAGAGGAGCTAACTAGCCCCTCAGGGTATCCCATGTGACTGCGGCTTGGCCCACAGCCCTGGGGAAACCAGCTCCCCTGACGGTAGGCATGAGGGTACCAGTGCAGCGTGAGGGAATGGGAAGCAAATGCAGACATGGTCCTTACGGGTGCTAGCCTTGGAGGGGTGGGTCTGCCTTGCAACAACGAGGCACCCAGGGGGAATCTTCCTCAGGGGGGCTCTAAACAGCACATCTCTAGGAACTGTGTGCACAGATGGCTGCTCACCAGAAAGTCTGGGGAGTATTATCCAGCAGCAGGCACTGAGTCACTGCGGGTAGGAGTTCTGCTAGGAGGGTGTAGCTAGGCTAGCCCCAAGCCACTAAATGGTTCCTGACTTGAAATGCTGTGCCTAGAGGTGGCAGGCACACAGGGCATCTCAAGGAGGTGGGGCCCACATGACATGGGCTCAGATAAGCAGGTTTGGGGACATTTTGCAATGGGACTAGGGCCAAGGCTATGGGCTTCCAAAGGACAAGTATAGATTTATACAGGAAGTTAGAACTTTCAAAGACCTCGGGAGGAGCCTGAGATCCTTGAGAAATAAATCCAAGGCCCTTCAAGGGCCTCTTCCAGTCACATAATGTGAGTTACACTGAGTTTTCTGTATAGATCCCAGCTCCAAAACACCTGCTGTGACAGCCTGACCACAGCAGCTGCCACCCTGGAAACCAGCTGTTGGTAGGAAGCAAGGCACCAGACACTCCCAAGAGGAAACAGTCCCTCTTCTTACGCCTTTATTCTCCTTTAGAAAATTCTTGCAAAAACCTATTTCTCTCACATGTACAGTTGCTAGCATTTTTTTTTTTGGTGTTTTTTGGTTTTTCGAGATTGGGTTTGTTATCAATTTTTTAAAATATAAAAAACCAGCTTTGTTGAGATGTAACCCATATACAGTTTACTCATCTACCGGTCAGAGTCGGAGGCTGGGGCATAGTTAGTTACTGGGAGATCATATGCTCTGCATGTGTGGGGTCCTGGGTCCAATCTTCAGCACACAAAAAATAAAAAAAAGGAAGTCTGAAATCCAGTGGTTTTTAACATGTGCAAAGCTTTGTGCAATCACAATAGATTTTAGGACATTTTCATTAGCAAGAAACTCTGTAACCACTACCCCATTCCCAATTCTGTCCTCTCAGGCACAGGACAATCATCTATCTACTTTCTGGCTGTAATTATATATCATTCTAGAAACATTGTCCTTTTTTTGTTGTTTTGTTTTTCGAGACAGGGTTTCTCTGTGGCTTTGGAGGCTGTCCTGGAACTCGCTTGGTAGTCCAGGCTGGTCTCGAACTCACAGAGATCCGCCTGCCTCTGCCTCCCGAGTGCTGGATTAAAGGTTTTGAGGTTTCTAAAGCCCAGGCAATACATACCTAGTTAGCTCTCTCTGCCTGGTTCATACAGATCAGTATATAAGCTCTCAGCTACTGCTCCAGAGCCATGCCTGTCTGACTGCTGCCATACTCCCTACCATGATGGTCATGGACTCTAGCCCTCTGGAACTGTGAATTCCAAACTAAATGCTCTATTTATGACTTGTCTTCAACATGGTGTTTTGTCATGAAGATGGGAAACTGACTAAGACAGTGGGTTTCTGGGGACCTGAATGCCTACAGGGCAAGTGTTTTTTACCAAGCTACCTCCCCAGCTTCTACAATTATAATATTGTTACTTTAAATGTGAAAATAACATGCTGATAAAATCTGGTGCTGTATACTCTGGTTCGCACGCGCAGGCACCCAGAACTTTGCACTGGGCTTGCACACTCGCCATTGCTTCTTGCCTCCTGCCCACTGAGACCGGTATCTTCATTCTGTATCTTACGCTCAGTTGCCCAGGGCCATTCCCCTCAGAGGAGGCAGAAGGGTTCTTTCTCGACACAGAATATGAAAATTTCTTTATGTCGAAGTCACACCTGAAGACCATTAGGCTCAACAGAAACTTCAAAATGTCAGGTACTTGAATAGTCTGTAATGAAGACACCTGAGGCTGCTGAAGTTTTGTTTCTCCAACTGCTTTTCCAACACCAGGATCCCATAGGTTTGTCTTGGACACCAAACCACAGCTGTGTTTTCTGGGAGGCCAATAACTTAGTTGGTATTGTCATGACACCCTCTCAGTCATCAAGTTAGCATCCACTCATGATGACCCCACATTTCTAGAAAATTTCCCCTAACTCTCCAACTACCTCTACTGTTCCACAGCTTCTCAGCCCCGTCCCCCCCAATCCCACTGTCACTCAGTTCTGTTCTCAATAGAAACTGACTTGTCTTCTTTGGCCTGATCTAGTCCTTACATCCCAGAGGCCCTGCTCTCCATAAGGCCCCCTGGAAATGACAAGCACTGGGAAGAGGGAGAGAAGCCGGAACATTTGTGCATTGCTGGTAGGCATGTGAGCTGGTGTGGTCACTGCAGAGAATGGTATGGCAGTTTCTCAAACATTAAATACAGGATTATCACAAGATCCAGCCAGGAGAGCTGAAGGCAGGGTCTCAGAGAGAAACTGCACACTTACGTTCACAACAGAGAAAAGGGAGCATTCATTTTAATGCAATAAGCTGGTGATGGAAGGGTAAATCCTGTATGATC